TCCTGCTGACTGGCATCCCCGGCCTGGAATCTCAGCACATCTGGATCGCCATCCCGGTCTGCCTCATGTATGTGCTGGCTCTGCTAGGAAACGGTGCTGTCCTCTTCGTGGTAAAGCAGGATGTGACCCTCCATGAGCCCATGTACTATTTCCTCTCCATGCTGGCTGTCATTGATCTGGTCTTCTCCACAGCTGTTGTCCCCAAAATGCTGAGCATCTTCTGGCTGGATTCCAGAGAAATCAGCTACGAGTCCTGCTTCCTCCAGATGTTCTTCATCTACACCTTCGCTGCCGTGGAGTCGGGAGTGCTCCTGGCCATGGCCATAGACCGATACGTGGCTATCTGCAACCCCTTGAGATACAAGGCCATCCTAACCAACCCAAAGATTGCCTTGATCGGGCTGCTGTCCCTTGCAAGAGCAGTGGGGGTCATGACACCCTTCATCTGCTTTCTAACCAGTCTGCCCTACTGTAAATCGACTGTCATCCCTCATTCCTACTGTGAGCACATGGCTGTGGTGGACCTGGCGGGCACTGACTCATCAGTCAGTGACAAGTACAGCGTTGTGGTGGCCACCACCTTAGTGGGAGGAGACGCCATCTGCATCACCTTCTCTTATGGCATGATCCTCCGCTCTGTCCTGCGCCTCTCATCTCACGAGGCGCGTCTCAAGGCCTTCAGCACCTGCGGCTCCCACCTCTGCGTCATCCTGCTCTTCTTCGTGGGAGGGCTCCTTTCCATGTACATAGAAATGTTGGACCTCGGTCTTCCACGTCACATCCAAGTCTTGCTTGCTGACTTGTACCTCGTCATCCCTCCCATGTTGAACCCGGTCGTTTATGGCCTGAAGACGAAGCAGATCCGGGAACGGGTCTTCAAGCTCTTTAGACAAAGACAGGACTTAGCAGAACCCCGTATGGATGGAGGCCACTGACACAGCCCCTCAACTTAGGAGAACCCCTCTGTTATCCCCATTTTCACCTTTCTGTCCCCGTCCCCAACACTGTGGCCTCACATGCACTGTGCAAGAAAAAGAGAGTGTGTGTGTGTGAGAGAGAGACATTTTGGCTACGTCTAGACTGCATCCCTCTGTCGAAAGAGGGATGCAAATGAAGCACATCAAAATTGCTAATGAAGCAGGGATTTAAATATCCCGTGCTTCATTAGCATAAACATGGCCACCGCTCTTTTTTTTTAATTGAGCTTTTTCAAAAAAGATGGCAGTCTAGACACGGATCTATCAAAAATAAACCCTTTTTTTACAGGATCTGTTGATAAAGGGTTTATTTTCGACTGATCCGCCTATAGACTGCCGGGATTTGTTTAATTAAAAAAAAAGAGCGGTGGCCATGTTTATGCTAATGAAGCACGGGATATTTAAATCCCTGCTTCATTAGCAATTTCGATGTGTCTAATCTACAGCTCTCTGTCGACAGAGAGGTGTAGTCTAGACACACCCTCTGTGTGTGAGGGACAGATTTGGTAACAGATTGAGGTTGTGTGGTGCAGAGAGAAGAGAGTGTGTGTGGCAGTGTGTGTGTGCCAGTGACTGTGTGGGACAAAGAAAGTGTGGTACACACAGGAGGGGAGTGACAGTGACACGAGAGTGTGTGGGCCGGCTGCTGCCTGGCAAGAGAGAAGCCACGCACTGTCTCTTTAAGACAGGGAAAGATGTCCGGTTCTGTCTGCTCCTGGGGGGGGGGGGGGGAGAGAGAGAGAGCTCATGAGCACTGAAATCTTAGAACCAGGGCTCTGCCTCTTAAGACAGGCCCTATGCTCCAATGTGTAGCTCTTTCTTCCCAAACGCTGCCCTGCTGAGATGCGGTTAGATGGTTGTCTATAGGGGTACGTCTAAACTACATGGCTCCATCATTTCACGAGGCATAAAGGATCTGCCGATGAAGGGTTCTGGGGTCAGCAGATCCCCGTCTAGACTGCAGCGCTGTGCCGACAATCAGCACAGCGCAGCAGCCGTTTTGATTTAAATGAAGCGGCGATTATTTAAATCTCCGCTTCATTTCCCTTTGTCATCCTGCCTCATCTACATGGCTCTGTCGACAGAGCCATGTAGTCTAGACACACCCTAGGACTCTAGACACACCCTAGGAAACCTCCCAGAGTATTATACTGCAAGAGGCTCTGGGAGACAGATCCATAGTCTCCTATAGACAACCACCTAACCTCAGGATGATTCTTACCAACCACCACAGGACATACCATGCTAATACCAACCCTGGAACTTTCCCTTGCAACAAACCCCGTTGCCAGCTTTGTCCACATATTTACTTTGCTGACACCATCGTTGGACCTAACCATGTCAGTTACAAGATCAAGAACACATATTCCTGTTCATCCAGAAATATAATTTATGCCATCATGTGCCAACAGTGTCCGTCTGCTATGTATATTGGACAAACTTCTCAGACACTTCGCCAAAGAATCAATGCCCACAAATCAGACATTAGACACTTTCACAAAGAAAAAACATTTTCTTGTCATTTCAAGCAGACTGGGCATTGTCTCAACAACCTCACTACATGTATCTTACTTCAAAGAGACTTTAACACCAGACTACAAAGGGAAACCTCAGAACTGTCATTTATGCTTAAATTTGACACTTTATGAATAGGCCTTAACAAAGATTCTAACTACCTTACCCATTACAAAGATAGTTTCCCCAATTATCACCCCTAATATCATTATCTTATAGACACTAACCTCCCCCCACACACACACACACCCTCTATTCTAAAATCTGATTTGTCAATTTTATATGTGTTCATTTTTTTTTATTGTATCCCTTTGGTATATATGGTCATGCCAATTTTCTTCCAAAATTTGATCTGAGGAAGTGGATCTGGCCCATGAAACCTCATCACCTAATAAACCATCTTGTTAGTCTTTAAAGTGCTGCATAGTCCTATCTTTTGTTTCGTCTAGACTACAGGCTTTTTTCAACAGAGGCTTTGTCAACAGATACTGTCGACAAAGCCTCTGTAGAAAAAGAGTGTCTAGGCTACAACCAGTTCTGTAGACAAATCAAGCCGCTTTTTCGAGAGAGCGTAGACGCTTGCTTTTGAAAAAGCACAGTGTGGGTGCAATAGCACCTTTTTTCAACGTAACTCTTGTTGAAAAAAGGCGTTATTCTTCGTAGAATGAGGTTTACCGCCGTTGACAAAACTGCTGCATTCTGTCGACTTACTGTCAACAGAACTCGGCAGTAGTGTAGACGCAGGTATATTTTTGTCGACAAAAGTCCACTTTTGTCAACAAAACCTTGTACTCTAGACACACCTAGGAAACACTTCCTCACTGGCAGGGTGGTTAAGCACTGCAATAAATTGCCTAGGGAGGTTGTGGAATCTCTATCACTGGAGATATTTAAGAGCAGGTTGGACAGACACCTATCAGGGATGGTAGACAGTGCTTGGTCCTGTCATGAGGGCAGGAGACTGGACTCGATCTCTCGAGGTCCCTTCCGGTTCTATGATTCTATGAATTCTCCTGATTCCATCACCAGGAACAGCATTTC